CAACTTTTTGTTTTAGTTTGGAACCAAGCAAGTGTGCCACAAGTGAGGGATTAACATGCTGATCAGTTATTTGTTTAAACTACAACAAAAAAGAAATTCTACATTCTTCAGTAGATTTGTTGGGACATGATTCTCTACAGTTAGTGATTACATTGTAGGACAGTCCTACAAGGGGTGAACAAGGATTCAGCTCCTAATTACAAATCGATCAATTCACAGGAGGGGAGGGGCAATATGGTTCCTAAGACTGGGAGAAGTTTCACAGCAAAATGTTTAAAATACCCAATGAAAGATACACCCATTGCAAACAGTTTTGCTTAGTTAATTACCCAAGTGTTATTCTGCCTGTGTGAACGTAGGCAGCCTGTTGCACCAAGATTAGCATCAAACCATCTTTCAGCACCCACCAGCAGAGGGTCAAGGGTAGCTCAGGGACAGTAAGGTCAATTGTAGGGGCCCCTACCTTTGTAAGAGAGGCTCATTTGAGCAAAGGGACAGGTCTTAAGTGGCTTGACAAGGTAAATGCTGAGAGGATGATCCCCTCGTGGGAGAGTCTGAACCAGACAGCACAGTCTCAGAATGAAGGGGTGCCTACTTAAGGCTGAGATGAAGAGGAATTTCTTCTCTCAGAGGGTTGTGTATGAGTTTGGAAATTAATGCCACAGAGAGCTATGGGGCAGTGTCCTTGTGTATAATTAAGGCTAAGGTCAGAAGTGACATGACACCAGGTTATAGTCCAACAGGTTTATTTGAAATCACAAGCTTTCAGAGTGCTGCACCTTCGTCAAGTGAAGCAGCAGCCCTCTGAAAGCTTGCGATTTCAAATAAACCTGTTGGACTATAACCTGATGTTGCGTGACTTCAGACCTTGTTCATCCCAGTCCAACACTGGCACCTCCAGGTTGTATTTAAGGCTGAGGTACATTCTTGATCAGTCGGAGAATCAAGGGTTACGGGAGATAGAGGGCAGGAAAGTGGACGTGAGGAAAGTCGGATCAGCCACGATCCTGCTGAATGACAGAACAGGCTCGAGGGGCTAAACAGCCTACTCCTGTTCCTACTCCTTGTGATCTTACGCTGGCTCCCACCCCAACCAGACCAGACATATGGTAACCAGAACAGGACAGCCTTCAGGACTCAATCTCAGGTTCAATGATTTTACAGCCTGAACTCTTACCTCCATGTACTTTACCCACCCCAGGTCCTATCATGACATGGGCTCCTTTCAGCACAGATAACCCATTTCCACCCGCTCTTAGCCCCTGTTGTCACCTAGCGAGCTTGTCTTCTTCCCTGGTTAATCCCTTTACCTAACTTTTCCCCTCTGGGTTCCAACTATCTGCTCACTTATCCCCACTCCCTCCCACAATCACCAAGATTAATACCACTTTCTCCTAGATAGTGGCAGTTCCGCAGAAAGGTCGCTGGACTTGTGAACATTTAACACTTGTGTTTTTCTCTCTCTCTCTTTACACATACTGCCAGACATGCCGAGTTTCTCCAGTAATTTCTGTTTTGATAAACAGGAGGACAAGCCCAGCTCACACACCACCCCCCACTAAAAAGGAGCTGAGACACACACAAATGCAGCTCTGCAATAGCCACATCTGAAATAAATAAAAGAGACAAACATCGTGCACTTACCGCAGCGCGCCCTAAAAGCGCTAACATTTTCACTGTCGACGTCCAAACAAATCGCCACCCGCCAGAGACCCAGCAACTTCCAACACGCCCGCCTGGGCGGGGCTCACGGCCTGACTGACTGACTGACAGCACCATCGTCCAATCGCGATCCCCCCACGTGACGTTACCGGCGCGCCCAATCCAATCGGCGACGGGCAACACCGGAAATCACCCCCTTACCGCCTCGCCATGTTTGTGCGGGGCACAGCCTTCGGCCTGTCAGACGAAACAAAACCACATTTCATATCGGCCCGCGCTTGTTGAGGGGGTCGAGATTAAAACTCGTCTTCCCCTCCCACCACGCTCAACAAGTTGATTCTTGCTCCAAGCCGGAGAATTGGGCGGCAAGACGGTTTTGCCCCTCACAATAATGGAGGCTGAGGCCCCCACATGTGTGCGGGGATTGGGGGCGAAAGTAAGTCCCTTAAAGGTCTCTTTCCGTTTGTTTGCCATCATTGTAAATGCCTACTTCGTGCCGAAATACGAGGACGTTAATGTTTCCCTGGCTTTTTCGACGCAGCCACGGAATGCGGAGGGAGGAAGAGGTAATTAATTTAGGAGGGTCAAAGGTAGGAGGGCGGGGTTTCAGGGTGTAGTTCCGGGTCGGATGTTGTGAGGCAGTTACCTGGAGCTGAATATGGCAGGTTCCAGTGAGTCAGGTCAGTCTCTGAGCAACAGACTAGTTTACAGCCTTTATTCATTCAATGGGCTAGTCTTTGAGCAATTTGCATGTGCAGATGTTTGACTAGATGTATGCAATTGTTTTATCTGGTGTTCTTAACAATGTCACCAGGGCTGCCCTGTATTGTGGCTTCCCACCTCCAATTTGAAAGGGTAGCCTCTCCTCTCCAAGTGCAGCTAATGCTGAATGCGAGGAATTTCTGAATCAGCCCGTGGTTGGGCTGTTGCCACTAGGAGCAGGAGGAGGCTGTTTCAGCTCTTTCAAGCCTGTCCTGTCATTGATGGAGAGCATCATCTCTACCTTCACTTTATTTGCACTATCTCTGTCAGTGCCATGTTGCTCACTGGGCGACCTCGTGCTGAGATGCGGCAATGAGTAGCTGGGACCTCAGGGCCCAAAGCTCTGGTTTAGTAAGTTTGTGGATGATACCAAAATTGGTGGTATAGTTGACAGTGAAGAAGGTTATCTAAGATTACAAAGGAATTTTGATCAATTGAGCCAATGGGCTGAGGAGTGGCAGATGGAATTTAATTTGGATAAGTGCAATGTATTGCATTTTGGTAAAACAAGCAAGGGCAGGACTCGTACAGTTAATGGTAGGGCCCTGGGTGGTGATGTCAAACAGAGAGCGCTATGGCTTCAGGCACGTAGTTCTTTGGAAGTTGCATCACAGATAGACAGGGTGGTAAAGAAGATTTTTAGCAGGCTTGCCTTCATTGCTCAGACCATTGAGTACGAGTTGGGTGTCATGTTGAAGTGTACAGGACCTTGGTGGGGCCATTTCTGGAGTACTATGTGCAGTTCTGATTGTCCTGCTGTTGGAAGGATATTCCTAAATTGGAGAGGGTTCAGAAAAGATTTACCAGGATGTTGCCAGGACTGGAGAGTTTGAATTATAAGGATAAATTGGGACTTTTTTTCACTAGAGTGTAGGAAGTTGAGGGGTAACCTTAATAAAAGTTCATAAAATCATGACAGGCATCGATAGAATAACAAAAGTCTCTTCTCTAGGGTGGGGGAGTTCAAAATTAGGGGACACATTTTTAAGGTGAGAGGAGAAAGATTTAAAAGGAACCTGAGGGGCAACCTTTTCACAGAGGTTAGTTCATATGTGGAATGAACTGCCAGAGGAAGTGGTAGATGCAGGTACAGTTACAACACTTAAAAGACATTTGGACAGGTATGTGAATATGAAAGGTTTGGAGGGATATGGGCCAAACGCAGGCAAGTGTGACTAGTTTAGTTTGGGAAATGTGGTTGGTATGGATGAGTTGGACTGAAGGGTCTGTTTCTATGCTGTATGACTCTGGAAACCAACCCCTCCCCATTGCTCAAATAAAATGTAGTGGTGGAGCCCAGAAAGCATCTTTAGTGGTAATATCAAGGTCGTTTGGAGGAAGATTCTGGTTACATTAAAACAGTCAAAACTTGAGATTATGTAATAGATACAACAAATTGATTTTTTTTTAAAAGTTAATTTTCTTCCTTCTCCTTCCCTGAAGGTCTTGATTCTAATTTGGGTACATTACCCATAGGTACCTGGGGACAGTGTGTGTCTGTAAGTTGTGCAGTGATGGGGGGTGGGGGCGGTAATCAGGTGCCTGTCCTTACCTGATCCGCGTGGGTGTCCCCCTGCTGACCCTTGGCAGGAGCGCTGTCTGATTTTCTTCTCCAGCTCCTGCCTTGTTTCAGTTCCTTGGCTGGAGCTGCCTGTTGTAATTTCACAGGAGAGCAAGTTTATTAATTGGACCTATAGCCAGCCTAGAACCATAGGTCTGTGATGTCTGCATTGCACCACTGGTTGTGGGGGAGAAACTTGCACAATTCATTTGAAAAACAGGAAAGCCTGACTGTACGAGTCACAAAAAATCTCACATGGTGGGGGTCCTTCTAGCTTGTTCTTCAAGTCTTGAAACTTCAGTTTCCAAATCCGAGGAATCACTCGTGCTGCACTGTCTCTGGAACGTTCCCAGGTGCTGACTGGTCTTCATAATGAAGTTGTGCTTCTTTGTAACCAGCTTGACTTGGTTCCCCTCTGCTGCACCTGTTTGATAGCTTGATTTGGTGTAACAGTTCACATTTTCAAAATCTTAACTAACTTAACATCAGTAAAAAGGTGACCTGGTCATTATAACCAGTTTTGCTGTTTGTGCACAACTTGCTTTGAACCATAAGAGCAAGTGAATTGGGACCAGGAGTAGGCCACTTGGCCCTCCAAGCTTGCTCCACCCTTGGGTAGAATCATGGTTGATTGGATCATTCTCTCAAGTCTGTTCCACCTACCCAGATACACCTTGACTTCCCCTGTTAGCGACGAATCCCAACTATCTCTCCCGTTTTAAAAATAGTATTAAATGACCCTGTCTCCATCAGGTGAAGAGTTTCAAAGGTTCATGACTCAAACTGGGAAAAAAAAAGGCCCTCATCTCCATCTTAAATAGGAGACAATGGTCTTCCCTGGTTTCCTGCAAGACAACAGTGACAACACACATTTTTTAAACAAAGAAGTGTTCTCACCTCCTTCAGAAAAAAGTTTGAAATTTGACTTTTTAAGTACTGGAACGTTATCTGTCATATACCGTCACATATCCTGCTGACTGGGTGTGTGGGCAATATTGGCATGTGCTGTTTGGTGAGGTTGTCCTGTTGGACTGTTGGAAATGGCTGAACAAATAAAGATGGAGTTCTGTTGAATCCCCGCTCTCCCCTTCTGGTGCTTGTTTAATGCCACGATAATGGGGTTAGTTGATTGATTGGTGATCACTCTCTTCACTGAGGATAGAATGAACTCTGACACAAGTTGGTGAAATCCTCAGTGAGGGAGAATCTTCCAGAGCCAGCGGTACTAAATCACCTGCTCCTCACAAATACTGTCCACCCTTCACATCTCCAGTTCCGAGCATGCGATGTCCCAAAGTAATAATTTATGCAAGTTCATTCAAAGTTATAAGTTTGATCAAGTAAATAAGTAGAAACGGTTTCCAGAAGTAGGCTGGGCAGTCACCAGAGGGACCAAGTTTGAAAGCTGCAGAAGCACTAGGAGGGAGGCTGAGGAAATGATTTTATGGAGGGGGAGGAAGCTGAGGAAACGGATTTTACCGGGGGTGGGGGGAGGCTGGGGAAACGGATTTTACCGGGGGAATGTGCTGCCTGAAGGGACAGTATAAGCAGAATTGCTGGAAGGGGACTGATTTGCATGACTGTGTGAGATCGAAGAGACAGTAGAGGTATGATGGCTACGCTGCACTGTTCCATTACAGAAATCTGTCAGATTTGTACTTTTATGTCAATAAACCCAGACTAATCACAGTCCGAGGAGGACACCCCGGCAGAGGGCTGGTGGGAGCTGGTGCAGGATCTCTCAGCTGGTTCAGAGTTAGGACCCCCCACCCACCAGCTCGAATACCCAGGGCTTGCTTCTGCACTGGAGCCTCCTCTTCACTCAAAAAAATAACATCGAGAGGCCCGTCAATTGCTCTAACTTCACGCTACCCCAGCCCCACTTCTCTCCCCACAGCTCTGCAATACTTTTCACGTATTTAAGGAGAAATGGTGGCATACCGGTAATGTCACTCGGCTAGTAATCCAGAACCCCAGGATAATCTTCTGGACCGTGGGTTCGAATCCCACGATGTCAGATGGTGAAATTTGAATTCTGTAAAAAGATCAGAACCTCACAGCAACTGCTATTGATTGTGGTTAAAAGCCCATCTGGTTCACTAATGCCCCTTCAGGGAGGGAAATCTGCCATCCTTACCTGGTCTGGCTTCCATGTGACTCCAGACCCACAGCAATATGGTTGACTCTGAGCTGTCCTATGAGCAATTAGGGATGGCTGTTGTTGCCATTGATGCCCATATCCCATTTACAAATCAAACAAAATTCAATTCCCTTTAGTTCTCATTGAATCTACTTCCAATTCTGTTTCAGGCAGTGTGTCCCAGATCACAACGTATTTCCTGTGGAATTGTTCTTTAAGCCTCTTTTACCAAAGGTTTACAGGGTAAAGGGGCCTCCTGGTGTTGTACTGTGATATAGAGAGCAAAGGCGTGCAATGTTTTTTTGCTGTCCCAGGTCGATGCAATGGCTTCAGTGCAACTAGGTTGGAGCTGGTGGAAACATGCAGCAGGAGTTATAGAGCCCGGTGCTGATGCCACTGGCCTCGTAATCCAGGGACCAAATGCTCAGATCCCCTTGTGGGCATTTTCAGAATCTGAATGTGAGAAAACATCTGATTATAAAAGACTGTTCTCAGCAACGGTGACCAGGATTGTCACAAAAGCCCATCTGGGTCTCTAGTATCCTTTATGGAAGGAATCTTCCTGTCCTTATCTACTCTGGTCTTGCATGTGCCTCTAGACCCACACAGTTGCCCTCTGAAATTACTTAGCAAGTTATATTGTTCAAAAACCCACCTACCCATCATGTTAACGGCAGCCAGGGGATAGCCAGTAAATGCCCACGTCCTGAGAATGCATTGAGAAATGATAAACTCCTGATTGAAGCTGTGGGCCAGTGTGTACTGGGAGACTAGCTGTTCAGAAACCTGCCAACCCTCATCAACTGGCCTGATTGAGTAAAGTGAGCCTGCATTGACTGGACTCCCACAGCCCTGTTGGGTCAGTGGTGTGTCTTGTTAAAGGTGCTTGATCTGTCACCTGTATCGTTCTGTGGCAGCATCCTGTTCTGTTTGAAAGGGCTGAATGCAATGCTGCTGTTATATTTTTAATGAACAGCCCATCTGTCAGTGTCACAGTAGCCGCTGCCTATTGTTCAGGTAGGCCTCAGTGCCCTCTGCTGTTACAGTGAGACAGGTCAAGTGTAATCTTAGATTGTCCTCCAGGAGTCTAAATCGTTCTGCAGTTTTCTCTGCTGCGTTACTGACTGTCCTGAGCTCTCACATCCCACACGCTCTCTTAGCTGGAGCCTGGATGTGGCAATGCTGCAAATCGCAAACGACATGTATTCTGATTTCGTTTGCGCTCCCAGCTGTTTATGCTGGCTTTTTGTTTGCTTTCTGCAATTTGCTTCTTTGCTGCTTCTCTCTCTTGTCCAATCCTTGGGCTCTTTTGTATATTCTCAGTCAGCTGTGGTTCTATGTTGTGTCCAATCCTCTCCTGAGTACAAAGACAAATGGATATGGTCTTTGTAGTGTACCTTTCCTTCCCTCTCCAACAATCCCCTTGGTTTCAGCCGATACCCAGTATATTGCACACTTGCCCCTCAAGTTCGGTATCTCCCCCTATTTCTGGAGGCTTTCGGGGTAGTGTTGAAGCTGCTGTTTAAGCCGTGTTCTTTCTGATGTTCCAGTCAATTCTTATTCCTGAACCAACACCACTTTTTAAAACAAACCAATTGCATAGTTTATATTTTTGTCTGTGGGATCTTGCTGTGTGTGACTTAGTTGTCTGCATTACAACAATGACCAGTGCTTTGGCTGTAAAGGGCTTTTTGATGTCTTTAGCAGTAGGTGCTATAGGAAAGCAGGGTTTTTTTTCCTAATGCTGTTGTGTGTGTCTGTGCACAGGCTCGTCCCCGGAGGAGGAGATGCGAATTTCTTTCGCCAATCACAACTTTGTTGTACCAAAGAAAGAGATCAACATGTTCCCGGACATGGGCAAGTGGAAACGTTCCAAGGTGATGAACTGCAGGGGCAGATGTGTGGCTGGGGACTCGGGTGAACAGCTTGTACGACCAGCCTCTGGGGGAGGTGGTGGCTTAATAATAATGTCACTGGGCTCATAATTCGGAACCTCTGGCCAGTGCTCCGGGGACCTGGGTTTGAATCCTGCCGCAGCAGGATCTGGAACAAATCTGGAAAATAGAAAATCTGGCTTCATGACAATGATTTCAATCTTGCTAAAAACTCATGTGGTTCATTAATCCCCCTTTTAGGGAAGGAAATCTGCCGTGCCTACCTGGTCTGGCCTACATGTGACTCCAGACCCACAACTATGTGGTTGATTCTTAACAATTAGGGATGGACAATTTAAATGTTGGCTTAACCAGTGACCCTGTGAAGAAATAAAGAAAGAATTGACTTTCATTTAATTAATTATGCCTTCCCACCCGAGCTGCTGACTAGTTACAGGAGCACTTTCCCCTGCAATGTCAGGCTCAGTGGATGGCACTGGTATGTGAGTTAGTGTGGAAGGTTCAATCCCTACACCCATCCCAGTCACTCTGGGATTAAATCTGGCCTATCATTCCCAGTCCCGAGTTGAGACGGTACTATCTTTTAGATGAGATGTTAAACTGAGGCCTCTATTGATCTCCCAGGTGGACATAAAGGATCCCATGGCCACTATTTTGAGGAAGGAGGGTATTATTAAGCTGGAGAGGGTTCAGAAGGGATTTCCCAGGAAGTTGCCGGGTATGGAAGATTTGAGTTATAAACAAAGGCTGGAACTTTTTTCACTGAAGCATGGGAAGTTGAGAGGCGACCTGATAGAAGTTTATAAAATAATGAGAGGTATAGATAGAGTTAATGGCAGTTGTCTTTTCTGTAGGATGGGGGATTTCAAGACTGGGGCCACTTACTTAAGGTGAGAGGAGAGAGGTTTAACAAAGACATGAGGGGTAAACTTTTTTACACAGAGGGTAGTTCGTGCGTGGAATGAACTTCCTGAGTAAGTGGTGGATATGGGCGCAATTACAATGTTTAAAAGACATTTGGATAGATACACGAATAGGAAAAGTTTGGAGGGATAAGGGCCAGGGGCAAGTAGTTGGGGCTAGTTTAATTTGGGATTAGATTCATCCAAATATTATATTTGGACTGAAGGGTCTGTTTCTGTACTATATGACTCTATAAGAGCAGGGAGAGTTCTCCCCAGTGTCCTGGCCAATGTTCATCCCTCCAATAATATCAATAAAACAGGTTATTTGGTCATTACAACTTTAATTGGAAATGGGTGTCACCAGGCACTCATGAGCCAACCACATTGGCTGTGGGCCTGGAGTTACATATAGGTCCAGACCAGGTAAGGATGGCAGATTTCCTTCCCTAAAGGACATTAGTGAACAAGGTGGATTTTACTGTAACTGGTGGTGTCTTTGTATTTACCATCACTTTATATTCCAGTTTTCTTCACTGAATTTAACTGCCCTGGTGGGGTTTGAACCCTGTCCTGACCACATTGGTCTGTGCTTCTGGATTGGTAGTCCTGTAAAGTTACCACAACGCTACCATATCTGCCATGGCTATTTATACATCTTGCTGTATATAAATTGGCTGACATGTTTGCTTTATTACTGCAACAATTGCACTTCAATACATAACACACTGGCCTTTTCTCACTGAGACACTCCGTATCTTTCTGCATCATTGTGGTGCCCTGACTGCTGACCTTTGTGTCCTTTTTATTCATTTGTGGGCTACGGGTGTTGTTAGCTGGCCTCGTATCTATTGCCCATCCTTAACTGCCCCGAAGATGATGATGGTGGTGGTGACTGTTTGTGAATTGCTGCGGTCAGTGCGGTGTAGGTACAATGCTGTTAAGGAGGTACATCTAGGATGTTGATCCAGGCAGAGTCAAGGACTGGAGATGTATTTCCAAGGGGGGATGGTGAAGGCTCGGAGGGGAGTTTGCAGGTAGTGGTATTCCCATGTATCGCTGCCCTTGTCCTTCAGAGTGATAGAGGATCTGGTTTTGGAAGGCACTGTCGAATGAGTCATGGTGAAAGTATTTAGAAATGATTTTAAAAACAGGATGCATGTTTAAACCTTGAATTATCTCAAAGCATGGAGATGTTTTATGATTAATCAATCTCTCTCTCTCTCTTTCTGTAGGCCTACACTGACTACATTGGTTTTGTTCTGACCCTGAATGAGAGTGTGAAAGGGAAGAAACTCACGTGTGACTATAAAACCTCTGCGGTAGGAATAATTCTGGTCTGGGGCTTTACTCGATTCATGTCCATTTCCACATAGCCTTCACTGGACGGAAGTGTGGGAGGGCTGGGTTTTAATGAACTACAACAATAACCTGCATTTCTGTAACATCTTTTAAAATATCCTAAAAGACCTCGGGTGTGAAATCGGGCAAAACGTGACAGCGAGCTGAAGAAGGAAGTGACCCAAAGTTCGGCCAAAGTGAGAATTTAAGGAGTGTCTTAATGGGGGAGACTGTGGTGCAGAGCTTGAGGGAGGGAATTCCAGAGCTTAGGACCTAGGCTGATGGTACCAGATTCTTTCTGCTCCATTCCTCCCATCTCAATTAAACAAAGATGGTGTGAGAATTAGAATTGAAATGCAAGTGGCTAAGTAGCTCCTAAGAGCTGGTACAAGATGAAGTTTGCAAGTTCTGTTCTTGTATCAGTCTGAGGGGGTTCCAACCTGGCTGAGTGAACCCCAGTTTTCTTCCAGCCCCTCGGTCAGTGCCACTTTCCCCTTAAGATGAGTGTCAGCCAGAGTGGGGAGGCTGCTTTGCATTTTTGTTTCGTCAGCTCCGCTTCCTTTGTCCTCCCCGCAGCATCGCTGAGATTAGCAGTTTGTCATTTAGAGTAATTTGAAGGTCAGGCCAGTATTGCAGTACGTTTACCTGACATCGCAATGTTTATCACCTCAGGAAGCATATCAGGAAAACCAAGAGGCTGCTAGAGACCTGAGACGTAAAATTGGGGTAACTTGTACATTCTTTCTAAATAAAAAAGGACTTGTTTTTATTTTGATTATGCAGCATTATTCACAGCCTTGGGTCTTTCCAAAGCAGTTTCCAGCCACGAAGTACTTGTTAAAGTGTACTCGCTGTTCGAATGAAGGGAATACAGCAGCCAACTTTCATCGCAACCTCCCACGCACAGCAATGTGCAAAACAGCCAGAGGGATGTGACCCCACTGGAGAGCGGGGGGGTGCAGAGGGAGATTTACCAGGATGTTGCCTGGGCTGGAGTGTTTCAGTGATGAAGAGAGATTGGACAAAGCGGGCTTGCTTTCCTTGAAGCAGAGGCGATCTAGGGGGATATGATTGAGGTGTATAAAACTTTGAGAGGCATACACAGGGAGTAACTTTTCCCCACGGCAGGGTCATTGATGGAAGGTGAGGGGCAGTAAGTTTTGAGGGGAAGTGAGGAAGCAATTTTTCACCCAGATGATGGTGTGAATCTGGAACTCGCTGCCTGTGGAAGTGGCAGAGGCAGAAACCCGGAAGGATTTAAGAGTGCATTTGTGATGCCAAGGCATACAAGGCAGTTTTTGACAGCATAAACTTGAGGGGCTGAAGGCTGACACCTTGATGACTGATTTTTTTTTTGATGTTGTCTGTGATGGAAACGTTGGTCTCAGGACACCCTGGAGAACTCCTCACACTTACCAAAACTGTGGCACTTTTATTGGCCCACCGGAGAGGGCAGGTGTAGCCTCAGAATAGTTTGTCCAAAGGCCAACACCTCTGACAATGCAGCACTGACTCCATACTGCAACGGGAGTGAAAGTGCTCAGTTTCCTGGAGGGGAGCTTGAGCCCACAAGCAGTGTAGAGGAGACTGCGATTGAGATCCATGAGCCTCGAGCTCCTTCATACACACTTCTGGTCTGGGTAGCTTCCCAAAGTGTGGAAGCAGGCCATTTGGCCCATCACATCCACACAGACCCTCCAAAGGGCATTCTACCCAGCCCCATCCCCCTACCCTATCCTTATAACCCTGCATTTCTCTTGGCTAACCCACCTAGCCTGCACATTCCTGGACACTGTAGGCACTTTAACATGGCCAATCCACTGAAGCTGCACATCTTTAGATTATGGGAGGAAACCAGAGCAAACCCACGCAGACAGTCACCCGAGGGTGGAATCGAACCCAGGTCCCTGGTGCTGTGAGGCAGTGGTGCTAACCACTGAGTCACTGTCCCACCCCAGTTAAGAACCAGCTTATACTGGGAGTCCCAGCATCCAACGACACCAACCAGAGTAAAATTGACTGGACTCCAGAGATCAGAGTTGAAGGCATGTAGCACCGTGGGTTTCTCTCAGAGACTGTGAGTGAGTGTGGGTGTGCTATATGTTCCCACCTCACTGACCAACCCCCACTTCCTACCTACACTCACCTACTAGCTTCATCCCCACCTCCTTGATCAGTCTATCGCCCCTCCCCCCTCCCCGCCCCCCCCCCCCCCCCTGCCCCCCCCCCCCCCCCCCACCCCTCTCTATTTATTTCAGAGCCCTCTTCCCCTCCCCCATTTCTGAAGAAAGGTCCAGACCTGAAACATCAGCTTTCCTGTTCCTCTGATGCTGCCTGGCCTGCTGTGTTCATCCAGCTCCACACCTTGTTATCTCAGACTCTAGCATCAGCAGTTCCTACTATCTCTGCTCTGAAATGTTGACGTTTCGGGTCTGGACCCTTCTTCAGACCTTCTGCCTGACCTGCTGTGTTCATCCAGCTCCACACCTTGTTATCTCAGACTCCAGCATCAGCAGTTCCTACTATCTCTGAAATAATTTTATTCTGTGTAAATGACCAGTCTCCAATCCACCTCCTTTGTATGAGGCATGTAACTGAGGCCCCATTGGCCTGCTTAATGGAGTTAAAGGTACGATTTTGAAGAGGAGCTGGGTGGTTCTCCCTGGTGTGAAAACAAACTGCTGGAAAAACTCAGTGGGTCTGGCAGCATCAGTGGAGAGAAACAGAGTTAATGCTTCAATTCCAAAGACTAGTGTTCAGAACAAAGAAGAAGCTGGAGAAGAATCATACTGGACTTGAAATTTAACTCTGTTTCTCTCTCCACAGATGCTGCCAGACCTGCTGAGTTTCTGCAACGCTTTCTGTTTTTTTAATTTCAGATGTCCAGAATCTGCAGTATTTTGCTTTCATTTGAGAGTTCTCCCTGATGTGCTGAACCAACTTGACTCCTCAAAGACCATCATCAGATCATCTGGTCATTATCACGCTGGGATTGTTGAGAGCCGGCTGTGTGTGATTCAATGTGCTTCAATAGTACTTTGTTACCTGTAAAGTGAGATGCAGAGAAGTTGTTTCCCCTAATGGGATAGTCTATGGCCAGAGGTCATAATCTCATAATAAGGGGTCGCCCGTTTGAGAACAGATGAGGAGGAATTTCTTCTTCAAGGGGAGTGAGTGGAATTCTTTACCACAGAGGGCTGTTGAGGCTGAGTCATTAACTAAATTCAAAGCTGACGTGCACTGGTTTTAAATCAGTAAGGGTATCGAAGTTTGTGTGGAAAAGGCAGGAAAGTGGAGTTGAGGATTGTCGAATCAGCCATGATCTCATTGAATGGGGGAGCAGACTCGATGGGCTGGATGGCCCACTTCAGCTCCTACACCTCTTGGTCTAAGCGCTTTGGAGTGCTCTGAGGTCCTGAATAGCAGTTTCATGCTTTCTTTCTGCTGCGCCCAGTGTTCAGGAAGAAGGACTGACACCTCTTTTCTCTTTTCATTTGCAGCCGGTGGAGAAACTGATCATGCTGCTGAACACACTGGACAAGTGGATTGATGAGACCCCTCCAGTCGACCAGCCTTCCCGATTCGGGAACAAAGCCTTTCGCACTTGGTACAGTAAGCTGGAGAAGGTAAAAACCGAAAGAACTGTGGATTCTGTAAATCAGAAACAGAAAGAGAAACTGCTGGAAACGCTCGGCAGGTCTGGCAGCACACGTGAAGAGAAATCGGAGTTGATGTTTCGGGTCCGGTAAACCAGACCCGAAACGTTAACACTCATTTTCTCTGCACAGATGCTGCCAGACCTGCTGAGCTTTTCCAGCAACTTGTGTTTTTGTTTTTGAAGTTGGAGAAGGTACTGTATCATTGAAACGGCGGTCCACATGGGCAAAGCTTTATGAAGTGTGTCTCGGTAATCCTTCCGTAACAGCAAATTCCCATTAGTCCTACTTTGAGAAGTGACCAGTTTTAATTTTGGAGGTGGGATTGTGGTTCAACAGATTAATGTGGCAATGAGGCTGTCCAGTTAGATTTAAACTGATTAGAGAAGCAAGTTTAAGAAGGATGTGGTTAGAAGAATTGATCAACACATAGACAGAACCCTGGGTAAGTGTAGAGAAACCGAGGCGTACTTCAGGAAGCAGTCGGAGATTGTGTTTTTATTTCCTGTGTGGACAGGCAAGGACTTAATCCCCAACATTGTTGGAAATGAACAGCAGGTCGGGGCAACATTCAGTTCTTATGAAAGGTCATTTGGACCTGAAACATTAACTACACAGATGCTGCTCTAACCTGCTATGTTTCCAGCATTTTTTAATTTTTATTTCAGATTTCTAGCGTCCGTTGTATTTTGCTTCTGCACTGGGGAGGGGTTGAGCCAATCTGTGTTTATTTAGTTAGTATCAACAATATCAATACAGATAGCTACTAGTGTCAATAGTGTTAATGTCAGTGCAGAGCTGCTAGTATTGATAGTGTTAGTACACAAGAGCATCAATGCAGATAACTGCTGGTATCAATAGTGTTAGCATCAGTACAGGTAACTGCTACGTCGATGATGGACCGTTGAGTTTATTGTTGCTTTTCCTGTGCCTCAGCTTCACTGGGTCAGCTATCCCAGTCTGTCTCCCTGACAATGTACCTTAACCGTCCTGGTCAGGCTCAGTGTTCCTTTTCTGCTGGGTCCCTGGCGGAGAAAGTCACAAGTTTCTCATTTCCCTGTTCTGGAAGCATGGTGCCAGGTGAGTAGAGGGTGAGGTTTGTGCAGCAGTGCCCCTGCAGTCAAATAGCCGGGTGATGTTCATGGTTCAGGCTACCCTGTGACGGACAGAAACTTTGGTGTAGAAGTAAGGACCGAAACGGCTTAATCCTAAAATAGAAGGGAAATGACACAGCAGCTTGTCGGAAATTTGTCCAGGATTTGTGGTCCCCAGGCTGTGCCCTGTGGGAGAGGGGCTGCCCCCTGTTGTTCCTGAGTGTGGGAGGTTGGGGAAGCATAAGGCCATTCCATGTGTACAGGGCTAGGCTGCCTCATGCCATTCATCAGCTCCCAGCACTGATTTGCTTTCTTGTCACAGGAGGCTGAGAACTTGGTTTCCAGTGTGATTCCCCGTGAGCTGAATGGTGCTGTTGTCGAGGCTGCAGTGTATTTAAAGGAATCGGTGGGAAACCCAACAAGAATAGACTATGGAACAGGTAACCACAACTTCATATCCCTGAGCCTGGGTGCAGAGGGCAAATCAACGGATCATTGCAGTTTTGGTGTGCTGAGCCTAGCTCTTATGTTGGAGAATAACTGTCCAAAGCCAGTCTCCCTCTGCCTATCATGTGCCTTGTCATCAAGCCTGGAGGAGGCAGGCAGGGGTGCTAATGGTGTTGGCCCTGGACACTTTAAACCTTCCCTGCTCCGAAGCGCCACCTTCAGGCAAAGAGCCC